AAAAAAAAAAAAAAAAAAAAATACCAAACACAGTGCAATCTCAATCAATAAAGCAAACACTCTAAACACGACCAGATAACCCAAAAAAAATCCCAGCATGAACCACCAATGGATTATGGGAAAACCAAAAGAAAGGGCAGAATCTTGAATCATGAACACGCACAGAACTCACATGGGTCTGTGCGCGTGTTGTCTTTCACAACCATGCACTAACCTGTGCGCCTGGAAAGAGAAGAATGTGGGCGATCACAGTAAAACCGAAACTGGGTAGCTCGGAATTTCGAGGACTGGGCTGACAATTTGGTAAAGAACATCTTTTTCATAATTGTTATAAATAATTACTCGTATATATTCTTGGTTTTTCTTATTTTTCTCTCTACAGAATCGAACCATTTATATGTGTGTCAAAAGTTTGGTTAATCGCTATTTATGTGTGGAAGTTTTCATATAGAAAGCAACGGAACTGACTGTCGTGGCCAAAGCTTCAACCACCAAAATATATATAGAACATTCATTGTATGTCTACAGTTTGTTATACCCCTATGTACGTAATTTTTGAACGAATAATAAAAAGAAGAAGAAAAAAAAATCTATTTCACCGAAATTAGTATGCAACTATTGTTTTAAATTGTTAATAATGTTTTGAAGTGCAAATATCCCATGGTTGTTTTAAGATCATCAAACAAAAATAGTATTAGCACACAAAAGAAAATTATTATAATAAAATTATGTTATGAGTTACTACTGATAGTAAAGTAAAGATGAGAAATGTGATTCAAGTATAAAACAAAAGTAAAACAGGTCATGTTTCAGTTAACCACTGCACCAGCTTGTGGTTTGAGGCATTCTTCTTCCCTTCAAATACTAAAGGAATCAACATATTCCATGTTGAATAATCTGGGCCAATACCCATTTCCATCATCTGCATTAGCAACATCACAACTTGCTGCAAATCCCCTTTGCTGCAAAAGGCCTTGATTATGTCACCATAGCTTTCAGAGTCGAGCAAACAACCTCTCATCTTCAAATCCTCCAAAAGCCTCACCCCTGCCCCAACTTTACCCTGCCGGCAAAACCCACGGATTAGAACGTTAAAAGTCGACCCGATCGGGATATAATTATGCTCGATCATCTCATTCGTCATCTCAACCCCTTCCTTCATGTGCCCCTTTTCGCAAAATACCCGAATCAGAGCTGCATAAACGACAGCACTAGGAATATCACCCTGCTCACGCATTGTTTCAAGAATTTGTTTTGCTTCATCTATATTTCCATCTTCGCATAATCGTAAGATACTCAAACTACGACCAGCTGCACGAGGAAATAAAAATTTCATGTAGTTTAAGAATTCGGGTACTTTATCCAGACAATTCGCCTTGTACAAACCGTATAGAATGCTGTTATAAGGGCCAATACGGTGAACCCAATCCTTTCTCTTGCCTTCAAGAAATATTTCGAGTATCTTGAGCCCGTCCCGAGTCTTTCCGGACGAGCACAGTCCGTAAATTAGTGTATCAAACGTGACGAAATCCCAATGCAGGCCTGCTCTTTTCATTTCACCAAACTTATCGAGAGCAGAGTCTAACATTTCAGAATCACAAAAACCTTTTATCAGAATATTGTATGTTTTGGTGTTCGGTAGACATCCCTTATTCTCCATCTGCTTAAGAAATCCACATGCTGCCTTCATTTTTCCAGATTGAACAAAACCCTTCAGTAAAGTATTGTAAGCCACGACATCTGTAGCCCCTCGATTTTCCTCAACTCTTTCTAAAATTTCAACAGCCTCGGATGCACGTCCTGCATTGCATAAAATCTCAAGCAATTTAGTCAAGGTCACAGCATCCGGCACGAAACCATCACTAAAAGACTTTTCCAACATCACTAGAGCTTGAACGATGTTGTTCTCATTACAGTATGCTGAGATCAAGATATTATAGGTCACGTCGCTAAATTCCTCCATTTCATTCGTTAAACTCCTGGCTCTACCGACTTTTCCATTTTTGCAAAGGGCATAAATCAATGTATTGTACACAACCACATTAACCTTGACTCCGTGACTCTTCATTACCTGCAGGAGCTTGAACCCATCTCCTATTCTATTAGTCAAGCAGAACCCTTTCATCAAAATACCATACGTGTAGTCGTCACCCTTCACACCACACCCCATCATTTTCCTCCTATAGAACTCCCTTGCAATATCAATATCTTCCTTCACCAGAATATCGAGAATAGTGTTCAGCAGCTTCAATGAAGGGGCAGCCTTCCCAAACTTGGGCACCAAATCAAGAACTCTAATCACTTGCATCGTCATTTTAGCCCGCCCAAGTCCACGAGCAATAGTAACAAAAATGTCATCATCAGGACACGAACCAATCCTCCTGGGCATTTCATCGAGCACTTGCTCCACAATTTTGAACTGTCGAAAAGTACAGAGCTTGTGGATCAAGGCCCGGTATGTGGACGGGTTGTGGCTGAAGCCCGGGATCTTGGAAGCCCATTCGAATGTCTGGAGAGCTTGGTCTGGTGATTTTTGCTCTAAAATGAGGTGGACTATATGCTGAGGGTTGGGCAATAAAACAGAGGAGGCGGCCGTGATGAATCTTGATTGAGGGTGTGGGGAAAGCTGTAAACTTTTGTTGATTCTTAAGAGTAAGGAAGGATTAAAACTAATAGACATCTGGGTTTTGTTTGCTAAGATATGGTTGTTAGCAAACTTCCAAGATTCAGCCCTTAATGCATTCCTATTTTTGCATGAAGATGTACATAACTTTTCATATCCATATACATACTGATATATAATGTCCGAGCTGCGCAAAGAACATACATAATGAGATTTTTCTGATACAAAATTACAACTTCTCGCTTGAATCAAGTACAAAGTTTTGAACTTTCTGGGTTGTGAAACATATATGTGACCTTGAGAATATATAGAAGAGCCGCATAACAGAGGTCTGCAACTCTCCCACCCCAAACTTATGGTAATTGAAGCGAGAATTCTGAAGCTCAACCCTTTAATCCTGTCATAACTTTGACTTCATTTCTTCGGGTCCCAACGCTATCAACAAGGAGGGAAGAAGTAATTCTAAGCTTATTGCTATACGTTACAGTAGAAAAATTGCTGAGTTATGGTGTGTCGCCCCATAACTACACCTACCCTTTTATCCTCGAGCAGTGGTGTTCGGTCTGCACAAAACAGTGCAGTGTCTGGTCATAAAACTCTGTATTATGGTGTGGACAAGCATTTTACCAATTCGCCAATGCCATGGATTCATATGTTCTGTAAATGGGTTTGAGGTTGCAGAAAAGGTGGTTAATGAATGTGTGTAAAAACTCTGTGGATGGTATTATGGTGTTTAGATGAATGGAGTGAAGCCCGACAATATTGCTATTGTTATGAGAAGAGAGTTGTTGCAATGCCCTCATAAACATGCATGCAAAATGTGGTTATAAATGAAAAGGGACTGTTGTTTCTTGGACTAACATCATTTTCCGTGGCCTCACGTTTGGTGGAGGAGGAGATTCTCCATAACTACAAAGACAACCCTCAATTATAGCTTAATGACACAAACGACCATGCTACAGAGCTTGATATGTGACGCAATGCAAGATAAAGGTTCCTTCTTCCTACAACTCTCAATTTCTTTTCTCTACTATTACTACCTTTTTCTTGAAATGCTGGTTTGTAAAAGTGAAAAAATAAAAATAAAAAAGAAATAACAAATGAAAGGAAAGTTGTTAGATATTGAGGGTGTAGTTGGTTGTAGGGATGAAAATGCAATTGTCCTCGACTCCTAGTTGATCTTGGCATGGGGTTAGCTGTGTCCTGTTGTGGATGTTGGATATTATGCAACAAACCAATCAAACCCAAACCAAATAGTCTGGGCCCTCGAAGGGCCCGGGGCCAGCCGTTGACCACATCTGCAGCTGTGTTGTTCATTCGGTCCAGTTTTGGTTCATTAACGACTTATGGGGGCTGAGGTTCGAGATTCAGAGAATTATAGATTAGCTTAGCTGTATTAGAATTGAGTTTTAACTTTTTGTCTTTATTTATGCCTGGCCTCCTCAATCAAAACCAATATTCTTTTCAGAATTATTATCCAACAGCCCCTTTTCAATGCCAACAAAAGAAACCGAAGTTGACATCATCACAGTTGCAATCACTGAGTGCCAAATTAGGTGAAATCAACTACCTCCATCCACAAAACTGAAAATATTGTGGTGCCCCATTTACTAGAAACTCTTCTGGAACTCGCATGTTCTTGGAAGATTTGAAAAGAGTTCAAAGGAAGACCCCCTCAAAAATACCAAATACACTAAATCATGTAAAAATTCTCTTAATACAGAAGCAAATAAACCCAGAGTGGATTAGTCTCATTATAAATAAATGAAGAAAATCGCAACTTTCTGTGATTTAGCAAAAACTATGGTAGTTATAATGACTCAAGATCACTGGCATGTGATGTCTTTCAAGCTACTACATTGTGTTATCCCAAAAGAATTCTTAACTTAAATGAACACAACTTCGGTATTATCTTCTGCCAAGTGCCAAGTCAAATGTTAGACACAATTGCTGGCGAAGTGTTGCAACCATTAAACAATTTATACCAATAATAATTCACCATGGGAGGACACTCGAACACCCAGAGTACATCACAACTTTCCATTTCTTGAACTCATAAGAATAAGATCGAAAAGAAACAGGAAAATAATCAATGCCAAATAACAAAACACAAAGTATTTGAGATCCTGATTCCCTGATTCCTAATACGTAACAAATGGAAAAGAGCCAAATGCGAAAGAGTATTGCAGGCATTACTACTCGTGGGTTTTAGATCTGTCCCAGCTAAAACCACATTATCTTGGGATTTTCAAATCCTTCACTTGGAAAAGAGTAATGCATGCACAAATCATCCGCCAATACACACCAACTTGGATTTTTAATCTTCACCCCATAAAAGTAAAAGAAAGGTGAAACATTGCATAAGTTTCAGGCAAAATGTAATGTGTATTACATAAGACTCAAATGTCAGAAATGAACAGACCAGAAGTGCCATAACGGGGATAAACTGCAAAATCCACATGGAAAAGACAAATCAAACCTAAAACAATTTAGAATACTACTTAACTGGTGATACATAAACCAGTATCATAATGAAGAAATGTGCTTTCCTAAGGTCGCAAGTTAACCAATTAGCCTAATCACACAACATCCCCTGGAAAACATCATATCAAACCTGCAGACCACGAATTTCTTCTTCACATTTATTCCAAGTAATACTATTTTCTTTTTTTCTAAATTTCACCTTTCTCAAAGGCAATTTCCCAATTAGGCATGCGAGTCTCCCTTCTTCTCATTTCCTTCTCCATTGCCCTCTCCCAACAGCTTCCCTTCCTCCTCATCTGCCATTTGCGCCTTTTTCTGAGCATCCTTTGCCTTCAAAGCCTGCAATTTCGAGTGATTGTAATACCCCACGCCCAAAAACGCCAGCCCGTACCCAAACAAATTCAATGGCGTCACTGTATCCTTAATCACAGACCAAGAGAAAGCAATCAACAGCCAATCCTTCACCACACCAGCCACATTCATAGTCAAAGCCGAAGTCTTTCCAACCAACAAGAACACAGCCAAATTCAACGCAAACGCACACAAGGAATTAGTACCAAAAATCACAAAATCAAAATGAAATCCAGTAAAATGCTGCTTCAAAACCGGATACTCCACCATCAGCCATGGGACTGAAAGGAACGCCAAACAGCTAGGAGCCACATAGTAAAGAGAGGTGATAGGGTTTAAATTGATCCCTTTGGAGGTCAACAAGATCTGAATCAACACCAACCTCGTCGCCTCGAAGACAACGGCACCCAGCTGCAGAAACACCCCCCAAGAGTCGTACTTTGCCTCTCCATAAGCAGCGATCGCAACTCCAAAAGAAATGGCGAGCATGTTGGACATCGTACTGCCCTTGTAGCTGTCCTTTTGGAACAAGATCCCGATGGAATAAACGGCGACGGGCATGAGGGCTTTGAGCATCTGGATGAAGGAGACGGAGAGGTATATGTAGGCGGAGTTGGAGAGCCATAGGGACATGGAGTAGAGGGCGCCGATAGGGAGGACGGAGGTGAGGTAGACGCGGCGGGTGAGGGCAGCGGGCTCGACGAGCTTGAAGATGCGGACGGCGGCAAAAGCGAGGGAGGAGCAGAATGCCATGTGGATCATGGTGAGGGAGATGGGAAAAGGCCAGTTGTAGAGCTTGCGGTCGAGGATGTACTTGTTGTAGACGATGACGGAGAAGGAGAGGAAGATCCAGATGGCGACGTAGGTGTAGGAGAGGATGATGTTTTTCACCACCCCATCGGAGAGCGCTCCGCCTTTCCCCATCGGTGGAATGTACGGCGATTTGAGGGAAGCAAACGACGTCGTAATTAGGGGATGTGTACTGTGTTGTGTAGGAGAGAAGATTTGGGGGTTTCTTCTTCTTCTTCTTCTTATTCTGTCACTTTCGTTGCTTTTAATTTTCTCAACGAGAAAGAAAGAGGGAGAGAGATGGCACACGACACGTGTCCTTTTCTTTCTCTCTATTATTTATTATTAATTGCGTAGTTTAATTTTAATTAGTTAGGGTAAAGCAGTTAGGTCGTGTTTTAGACGTTTTGTGTGGTTTGTAAAATGTACGTCGTCTTCATCAGTATATATACATTAATTAGGTAGTATTTATTAAGAGTATATGGCTCAAAATTTAATTTTCCTTTGACGTGATTTTTATGGACCTTAAAACTGATATCTAAAAGAAGTTAGTCTTGTTCTCCCTTACTTCATAACGCTGCTTAATGGTTGTGCACGAATATTTTTCATTCGTTGTAACTTGTATATATTTTTAAGGGAAATGCTACCATCCAGTTACGGGATAGTTCCGTTGTTTTTTTGTAGGTGTAGATATGTATGTGTGTAGATAAGATCATTAGGATATTCTTTTTAATTTCGTTGTTATTTCTTAGTCACCAACTATCCTCGTTTTAGTTTCAAATCACTTATTATTTAATTTTAATGAGTTTATATATAAGATCATTAGGATATTCTTTTTAAAGCTTATGAGTTCGTCCAAACACAAAGATAATAAATAAAATTGAGGTTTGGTAAATAAAATGTGCGAAAGAAAATGCATGATTTGTGGAAAATTGAGGTTTGGTGAATTTGCTTTGAAGACTTGTGAAGTTCCTCGTTGATTTGCAAAGTTATGGTTCACATTATTTGTGAGACTTTAAAAGTTCAAAATGCTGTCTGTACATTGAATATTGACAAACTGAGCCAATAAAGCACAATGATTTACCTTTGACTTACTATGCTATAGGATACAATGTTTTTAAACTTGGTCCAGATTTTTTTTTTTTGTTTGCTAAGCAATAGAACAAAAACCATATAATTACAGCTACAAGCATAAAAACAACTAAAATTGGCAAACAGCACACAGCTGAATCCAGGAGACCTACTCGGAGGTAGCCTATGATCAACTACACTAACTTACCTATAGCACAACAAACTATACAGCTCCCAACATGAGAATAGCAGGAGAATAGCGGCTCCCAACAAGAGCAAAAAACAACACAACTAAACAACCACACAGGCCCGAAATGGGAGAAAACACAATACAAACACAAAACAACAACAAACACACAAAACAACAACAAACACACAAAACAACGCAATTAAGCTACACAAGCAACACCAATATCCTTCCCCAAATGAAACGCCAAGTCCAACACAAAGCAAAAGCACCGGCAGAATCCAGGTCGACCACCCAAGAGACTAGCCCGAAATCCAAGAACCGGCTCCCGAAACTGCCTAAAGCCTAGCTGAAGTCGACACCATAGACCCCGAACCACTCAAGGAAGACGAAACCCGACCAATAGCCCATGGAGCAGCAGCCCGCACCCCCACACACCAACATCGACCCAGACCCGGCCAACACCATTGGCCAAGGTCCGGCAGCGCCGGCTTCCCGTCCACCCCCACACCAGGGAGCACAGGAACAGGCCAGGACGGATCCTAATGAGGCCTGGGATGGGCTGAAGCCTAGGCCTTTTATTTATTTATTTTTACCAACTACTAGTTTAAAAATTTTTAAGTCGAAAGACCACAAACACCACTCTAATAAAATTTTATATATTGTCGACCCATCTTTTCCACTAGTCACTAACCAAAAATCATTACTTTACACCAAACTTCAATCAAATAAATCAATTGGGGTCATGCCCCTCTTCTAAACACCCGAACAATGAATTTAGAAGAACAAAAAATAAATAAATAAATTATTCAACAAGAAATAGACTACTTTCAAAAAGATGATTTAATTTCTTCTTTAATAGTAAGTTATATATTTTTAACCACATATTAGATATTTGTTTCATTTGTCAAATTGTCTTTATTTATCTTTCCATTTTAGTTGAATTGTTTAGGGTTTTAATAGCAATTTCTATGATCATTTTTGTTGCAATTCTTGTTTTGTTGATTGTGTATGAAGTAGTAATTGTGTCTATATGTGTGTGTGTTTTTCATCTCTTATCATCTAGTGTAATTGTTGTATATCTATTTGGATATAATTTTATGATGCATTATGAAAAATCAATTTATTGATATTGTTGAATTTTTTGAAATTCACACGGAGCACCAACCATCAGCGAAGAAAGGAAAATTGATATCATCACTCTTTAGAAATGTGATCGTCAAACTAGTGAAAGCACATCAAATACGGTACAAAATGAGTATAATGAATTTTATTATGTAAAAGCTTGTCGAGCACAACTTTAGTGAATATTTGAAAAAAAAATATATTATGTGATTTTATCATAAAAATAAAATTTTAACATTATAGTCAATCTACTCTTAATTTTTCGGATTCGTCCCTGGGAACAGGGAATAGAAAAACCATGCCTCAGCCCCTTTCGACCCGCCATGGACAATGAGATCAGCTAGGGCCACACCCAAACCCCAACCCCACACCACCACCTGACAGCACCTCGAAACCAATAAAGACAACAAACCGCAACCTCGATTGGCAACCAAAGATCGACGACACCCGACCCTCGAGCAGTCATCATCCTCCACTAGTGCAAGATGAGAGGAGCCGTGCGAAATTAGGGCATAGTGCGGCTACGGGCCATCCGACGGCAAGGCCTGGCTGCCTATCGGGGAAGTCGCGGGCGAAAATTAGCGGCGGCTGGAAGAAGAGTTTTTTGGCGATTTGGGAATTTTACGTAGATTGGTATTTTTCAAATAGTTCAATTGAGTAAACCGATGGCTCACTGATCCAATCATTATTGTAGTTCTAAGGCCAGTTCAATTTTAAAAACATTGATCATTACATTACATTACATTTTAAGAAAAAACTATGATAAAGGAAAATAGTCGAGATTTCATTGCAATTATCAAAATAGGCTGTAAATTACATTTTGAGTTGGAGAATGAGGGTGAAGACTCCTTGACTGTAAAGGACAGAGGGCGAAGGGGGAGAAGGTTAGAAACGGAGATATTGATACCCCCTATTAATAAAGGAAAAACGTAAGTGGTCTACTGTGCACCAGCTTCGCTACCTTTCCCTTTTGAATAAAAAATTCAATCGCTCTGTAGGTTACCTCGACCCTTATAGAAAAGGCTTAGTAAGTATTTGAGCTTGCTACTAGGGCTACACATGAACCGAGTGGCTCGCGAGCGCTCGAGTTAAAGCTCGGCTCGAGCTCGGTACTCGAGTCGAGCTCTAGCCTAAATTTTACATTGTCAAGCAGCTCGAAATATATGTTAAATTACTAAAATATCCTATCATAATATTAATATATGTACTTAATGGTAATTTTACAAAATTGCTTGAAAACTTTTAATCGAACTCGAGCCGAGCTCGAGGTGTTTTTTTATCGAGTCGAGCTCGAGCCTGAGCCTCGTAAACCGAGCTTGTCGAGATAAATATTTAGATAAATATCTATTATTATTATTATTATTATTATTGCAAAAATAAAGTTTGTAATAAATTATTTCTTCTTATCTTATATTTTTTCTTAAATAAAATAAAATAAAATAAAATGAATATGGAGGGTGTTGGGTATTTATCTGCTCCACCTTGCCCCTTTAGAGTTTCCCTGTGGGTTAAAAACACAGAGAAGAAAAAAAACCCAAATTTCCTCTGCCTCTAATTCCACACTTCTTCCGACGACTCCTCCAGATCGCCGCCGCCGTGACCACCAATGGGGAAAGGCGGAGCGCTCTCCGATGGGGTGGTGAAGAACATCATCCTCTCCTACACCTACGTCGCCATCTGGATCTTCCTCTCCTTCTCCGTCATCGTCTACAACAAGTACATCCTAGACCGCAAGCTCTACAACTGGCCTTTTCCCATCTCTCTCACCATGATCCACATGGCCTTCTGCTCCTCCCTCGCCTTCGCCGCCGTCCGCATCTTCAAGCTCGTCGAGCCCGCCGCCCTCACCCGCCGCGTCTACCTCACCTCCGTCCTCCCCATCGGCGCTCTCTACTCCATGTCCCTCTGGCTTTCCAACTCCGCCTACATCTACCTTTCCGTCTCCTTCATCCAGATGCTCAAAGCCCTCATGCCGGTCGCCGTTTATTCCATCGGGATCTTGTTCAAAAAGGATAGTTACAAAGGCAGTACAATGTCCAACATGCTCGCTATTTCTTTTGGAGTCGCGATCGCTGCTTATGGAGAGGCAAAGTACGACTCTTGGGGGGTGTTTCTGCAGCTGGGCGCCGTTGTCTTCGAGGCGACGAGGTTGGTGTTGATTCAGATCTTGTTGACCTCCAAAGGAATCAATTTAAACCCTATCACCTCTCTTTACTATGTGGCCCCTAGCTGTTTGGCGTTCCTTTCAGTCCCATGGCTGCTGGTGGAGTATCCGGTTTTGAAGCAGCATTTTACTGGATTTCATTTCGATTTTGTGATTTTTGGGACTAATTCGTTGTGTGCGTTTGCGTTGAATTTGGCTGTGTTCTTGTTGGTTGGAAAGACTTCGGCTTTGACCATGAATGTGGCTGGTGTGGTGAAGGATTGGCTGTTGATTGCTTTCTCTTGGTCCGTTATTAAGGATACAGTGACGCCATTGAATTTGTTTGGGTACGGGCTGGCGTTTTTGGGGGTGGGGTATTACAATCACTCGAAATTGCAGGCTTTGAAGGCAAAGGATGCTCAGAAAAAGGCGCAAATGGCAGATGAGGAGGAAGGGAAGCTGTTGGGAGAGGGCAATGGAGAAGGAAATGAGAAGAAGGGAGACTCGCATGCCTAATTGGGAAATTACCTTTGAGAAAAGGACAATTGGGTTCTGCAGGCTCGCTGTGTTGATCTTTGGTGAATCCCGATTTTGGTTAAGTTATGAGTTAGTAGTAGTTTCATTGTTATGAGTGGCGTGCTGCTTCACCTAGATAAGCACGCACATATATCTGCTTCTTGGTTCTGCTTTATGTATCATTCTCCATTGTGTGAGAATCAAAATACATTCTTGATTACAGAGTTTTTCCATCCATTTAGGTTCAGTTTATGTATGATTGTTTTGAGACTCATGAGTTTATGGACAATACATTTCTAGTTTTTATGGAACTTCCTAGTTTTTTTACAAATCCTCGGTAACATTTTCATTTTGTGGAGGAAGAAGAAGGATTTTAGAAGTGATCCAAGCTTGAGGTGGGTTAACTGGGGGGTGATATGCATTCACTTTTCACTTTTCTCTAATAGAGAGATCTAAGATCCACGATTTTCGCATACGATACATATATTTTTTATATTTTTTTGGCAATAGATATTAAATATTCATGGGATCAAGATCTCGAGTACCTTGATGGTTGTTCACGCATCTTAGACAGAGCTATTAGTATACTATAATTTTAGCTCCAGTTGGAAACCAGCAAGTTAACAGAGTGAGTTGACTTTGCTTATACATCCCACATGTGGGCTTAATTTGCAAAACTTCAGTTCAAATAATAGAACTACACCAATCCTCCAAGTACCAATTTTAGAAAGTACAATTGCCAAAAGCCATTTTGATACAAATTTTGGTAATGAAGCCCATAACTTTCACATTGATACCAAACCAAACACATCATCTGTCACCAAGTTCTTTTCCCTCTAACCATCTACCAAAATCAAGAAAAAATCTGGTAGCATAAAATACTAAGCAAATGTAGCATCAACATCCGGTATGAAATGGAACCTAGCTAAATACTTGCATATCGACATGCATCGATAAATAGCCCTAATTAATTAAGGGTACAACACACTACATCAACCAATGTCCAAAAATCCCTCCCTATAAAATGTTGAAATTAAATATCAACAAAATCAAACTCAAAACGACCATTGGCAGCAACCCCTTATCTCGTTTGTAGATGAGTGCTTGTTGCTGTCAAACATGACCAATCTAAGATGGCATTGCACAAATGCGAAATGATCATTGTTAGAAAATACCTGCTCACGGTTGCATCATTAAATTCTTAATTGCATTTGTGGATGAATCATTGCTTTTGTACATTACACAAAATATAATCATAACAAAAATGGTTCCATGTAAGGAAAAACCAAGTCCAAATAGTTCTAACAATATGGATATACCAAAGCTGCTGTATTATCATCGTATGCACTTCTATTCTCGCATTGAAAACAATCTAATACCAAAGTCCAAAACTTTTCTTGCTACTCACAAACACCTGATCACATATAGTTCTGTGGCACTTCTGTTAAAGGCAAGTTACCCAAAACTCTAAAAGATAAGAGGGATTCAACTCCACGTTTCACCTAGCTTCTTGCACTACAAGTGGACTGAACTTCCCAAAATCATCAAACTCGGTGCCTTGCACTGGCGGCAAAGAGAATATACTAATGGTTGAACTTTCCTTTCTGATTTCCTTGAGGGTCCTCAAGGCCGATACCGTGAGTCTTAAATACATGTTTTCCATACATTCAATATCTGAAAGCTCTACCGGAACTCTCAGTTTTTGAGAATCCTTCTCCACTAGCTGATCACTGTAAGCATCTTCTTGTGGGCCCAACTGCTCATGCTGCAAGAAGATGCGGTAGATCATCACCTCACACTCCTTTACTAGTTTGTTCAGAACCTCGGTCCTGAAGAATGGCTCGTGCAGAACCTTCTGGATGAAAGGCAGTCGAATTAGGTCGCCACTTTTCTTATCGTACTTCTTTAAAATCTTCAATAGCCCTGTTCACGCAAAGTTAGGAACCATTCACTATCTGGACTAATTAAATGATAAAAATGAGGCACTATGTAAGCTCAAACTAATCACTGCTGGGATAGATAGTCCATGTCAAATGAAAGAGATAGGAGGACAAGTAGCAACAGCCATTAGGAAAATTCTGTTAAATAAACATCTGTTCTTTTTAGTTTGACAGGGGCAAACCCCAAACATCAACTTGCAGCATCCTTTCATGTCGATGAATGGGTAACAATACCCTCATTCAATTTAATTGTCAGATTTCATGCTATACATGCCAATTAGAAGTATCCCAAGGAAAAATCAGGAAGGCAACAAGTGAATGTGAATTCCAAAGCACTAGACTGCATGCATGACAACTTATGACACTGAAAAAAAAAAAAAAAGTTGCTATTATTTTGTTACCAACTACCATATAAGCTAGTTTGTAGATCACTGTTGAAGAATGGAGTACCTGTATAGTTAAGCGCACTATAATTCTCCAACAAGATCAACTCTCCGTGAAGATCTACGAGCTTTCTTCCTGCTTTCATAAGCTCTTCTTTCAAATTCTCAGTCTCAGCAATGTCATCTTTCAGCAACTACATCCAAGGAAAAGAGAGGAACGGAATATAACAAGTACTGTAAAGAAAAAGAACAAAAAAAAAAGAGAGAGAATGGTTGAATAGCTAGATTACCTTAAGATATTTTGCTAGTCACTGGCTTGCCAATTGATAGCCTAATTATAGATATCTTCACTATGACCAATTAATCCTAATAATAGTAACATTTACCAAGCAGAGTGTCAACAGAAGTTGCAAGACGATGGTGTTGTTTACGGAGACTAAACGTTTATTTTTACTTTCTTTTTCTCTATCATAGAGCAATCCATAGTTGGCCCATGATCTATCCACAGCTTTTCTCAGGAAAAGCTTCCGTCTATCTACATTCTCACACAAATTGCTCGCAGCTGATCAACAAACACATGCTACAAGACTACATTTCGACTTTCGGTTACAAATTAAAACTTTTTTAGGTTAAAAACGGCAATAAAAAGGGCTATGAAATTTATTTAGCTTGTTCTGCTAGAAAAGAAAACGCAACACAGTCCACTTCTTCGTATAATTAATTGATTGAGCCGCTTTTCAATTGAAACGCTCTAAAAATCTACTACCAATGTTTGTAACAAATAGATCCTAAATATTATTTGCAGGAACAAAAACCTTTCTCCAAACTAGTCAAAATAACAAAAGTAGAAATTGAAGAAAAAGGAGGTACCTTTAATCGGATGATATATTCTTCCTCTTGATCCATGAAGAAGGCATTAAATTTCTTAATCTCTGCTTCCAAGAGCTTGACGAAATGTGCCGTCTCGTTCTTCCCTTGGCCCGATGGATCGCCTCCCAACCTGCGCAGTTTGCTCGGCCTCTCACCGTCGTTATCATCCTCCATGGGAGAGATGGAATTGAGCTCCTTTTTCAAATCCTTGTAGGAAATAAACTTGTCCTGCCAATCGGGGAACATCTCGTCGAGCAATTTCCTCAGAATCTTCCAAAACTTCATGTTTA